TTTTACGAGTTGTTGTCCTTAATGACTGACAGCCCTGTCACATTAATGTCAACCAGTACAAACCAGCCTCCTGCAACAAATTCCTAGATCAAAATACATGTTGGACTAAAACTTTCAATCACTAAATTTTAAAACAAATTACCACTTACACTCTAGGTTCTGGGTCATAAAATCTTGAAATGTCTGTTTCTCGCTTGTTGTCATTCTCATTGTTTTTGTTACTGGAGCATGGATGAGGTTTTAAGCCATTTTCTACAGTATCTGCTCCATTTTCATTCAGTCTGCCATTTTGAAGACCTCTGAAAGGACTGTCATGAACTTTATTATTTTCACTGTCATGTCTCTGGCGCTTGATACGATAAGAATCTTTCTCCTGGCTTGGGCTGCGTTTCCTATGTCCTTCTTTAGAATGTCGACTGCTTGTGCTACTTGAACTGAATGATCGTTCACGACACTTATTCCTACAGTGCATAAATAACACCAAAAACAACAAACTATTAGATTGAGCAACAGCTTTGGAATTTTGGATGGAAAGCTGTTGGGCTGATCTAATCAAGACAAAGCTTCCAGGAAAAGCCCAACAACATCCTACATCCCAAACACTTCAACAGTTGGCACCTAGCTTTTAGATGTTATGAAATCTGAATATGCATGCATCATCATTGTCAATGTTGATTTCTATGGTTAAACTAAGTTTTACCAAGGATCTTCAAGGTCATTCCCCAGTATTGCATTGCACATCCCTACTGCGCATAATTTCACGCATGATTAGTGCACAGGCATTAAAGAATGGCAGCTTTTTCTTTACGGCTGGACCTCGCCATGGAGGTAAATCATCATTTTCTCACAAACAAGCATGGTGACCTATCATTTTTTTCTGTTGTTTTGAATTGAGTAATAAATTTCTCTGTGTAAAATAAATACGGACCAATTCTCAGNAAAATATGACTAGGTAGGCAATATCCAAATAAAACTTATACTCCATTATCCATTACCCATAAGGGTTACTATCATCATGATTTACTGCTTTCTTAATCAAAACATAGGCTCCTACACAAATGATCTGTAGGCTCACCATACAATCTCAGCCCCTCTTCAGGGAAGACTGCATGACCAACCATAAGAACATCTGTGTAGGAGGTTAGCCAAAACAGTGCTAAGGTGATACCTCCGAAATAAAAGTTGTAAAATGATTTTTTTAAACATTCTCTGAATGTCGCCTATCAAGCAAAAAGATTATGTTATGAAAATGCAATAAAAAAGATAGGTCGCCATGCTCGCAAAAAAGATATGATGGACCAATCTTACTCCATTTAAGACTATTAAGTTATTTCATTGGTTCATGTTACATTTTATGGTTGCTGGAAGCAAAGTTTTAAAAAGAAATAATTGAGAGAAAAAAATGATAGGTAGAAAATCTCGGGCATATGCAACAAGGTAACGTAAAATTTGTGGAAATATTACAAAATCGTAAACGACTTTGAGTTTAAATGTTCCTCTGTCATTGTTTAAAGTGACCCATGCTGCTTCAACTTCACCAGTGTACTTTGTGACTAGTGTTCACATAAGACCTTGAAAACTGTGCTGCTTACCTGTTAGAATCTGCATCACTTTCATTCTTCACTTTCTTGGGTGTCTCATGTTCCACTGGTCTCACGTCTGATAATTTCCTTTTAGTAATCTTTACCTCAGGGGAAGTGACCACATCCTTGTTGCCATTGGTTTCAGCAGAGGGAGATGAAGCTGAATGTTTGATCAGCTCATTCCCAGGAAGCTTGGGTATTCTCTTCAGAAGTGACAAGTCAATTTTCACAATAAGAGACTCGGGCATGTTGACTTCATCATATGTAACTTCAACATTCTTCCCTAAGATGTCTTTTGTCCTGTTTGGGGATATCAAACTAGATAACACATGAAGTTTCTCACCATTTACATGCTTACTAAGACCATTTGTTCCTGCAGGTTTATTTTTGATGCCTTTCGTTCTCTCACTTTCCTTTGTTTTTGGAAATGGTTTAATGTCTGCCTTAGCAATCTCGTGTCCTGGACTAGTCTCCACACCAACAATGTCAACGATTACGTCCTCATCATCCACTTCACTGGCTGGTTTTACAGTATCATTGCCTGTAACAGAGGTGCCTGAACTTTTAGTTTCTGGTTTCTTTTTTGTCGATTCTTTTGTCACTTTTCCTCCAGCTAACCTGGTTGTTTCACCAGCCTTGTTTGCTTTTTCATCAACACTGCCATTACTAAGTTTGACACTGGCCGGGTTTTTTGATAAGCTGGTATCTGTCTTAGACTTCAAAAGTTTCTTGGGAGAGCTTTCACTATGACTTTTCTCTTGGCCAGAATTCATCTTAGATCCTGTAGTGGATGGTCTCCTCTTTCCTTTCTTGTTATCCTTTGAAACTTGAATCTTAACAGTCTGGTCCTTTTTCCCAAGCTCATTACTAACAAGTTTAGCTGGGTCTGCACTATCATCTGTTTCAGGAGGAAGTTCTAGTTTTGCTGTTAATGACTCAATATCAACTCCATGATCCAGTTCAGGACTGTTGCTAAGAAGACCAGCTGAAAATGGTGCCAGACTTTCCTCCACAGCCATGGGCAAAGGGCTTTTCTTCTCACTTTTAACATGATTACCCAAATGGGAATTAAGGGAGCTCCTATTTGCATTTGCAGCAGGAGCGACCTGATTTCCCCGAACACCATCTTCTCCCACAGTGTTAGCTGCTGATGGACTTGGTTTTGTCTTAGTGGTGGGTGATGTTGAAGACTGATTAAGAGTACTGAATAAGTGATCTAAACCCCAGTTTCTTCCACTTGTATGCTGAAAATATTGACAATATTACAAAGCAACATTTTTTATGTTTCTCTTTAGTCTTTATCCTTTTAACCTTCTCTTTAGATATATGAATTCTGATATCAAACAGCTGGCACTCAAGGGAACACTTAAAATGGCTTTGGAATCTTGAGGATCTACTGCACTCAAAATAACAAGAAGCTTAAGCAATGATGATGACAACTAATGTATAGGACACGCCTAGTGAAAGATTAGTTCTTATTCACCAACGTTGCTTGAACTAAATATGTAATAACAATGTTCCGTACCACAAAGTAGCCATTGTGGGTCATGTTTTCCAAATGCTTAGAATTTGGTCATTTCACATTTTTCTTTAGCTGAGGAGAGCTATGAAATGTATGACAATTAACAATGCAGGTGCAGAGCTATTATGCTGTCTGTTAACCCTATTGTTAGTGATGTTTTTATTGCTGTTACCACCATGGTCTGCTTAAGCTCTCTACTGTCAACACAGACCTTCTCCTTATTAGTCTCCAATCACTTCATTCCTTGTAAGGAGAGTTTGTTCTACAGTGTAGTATCAAGAAAATTTTACTAGGTGATCATTTCTTAGGTTCCATGGCCTCCAAAGGTCAAAAGGAATTGAACTAATTTGTCCTTTTTCGTATTGCTTGCCTTGGCACCTACCTTGGGAGGGGAAGAAGGGACGTGAACAGGAGATTTGGCTGGTTTATTTTTTGTGTTATTGTTTGAATCTGAAGCACTTGAATCACTGTCACTATCACTGCTGTCTGAATCACTATCCTCGCTACTACTTCCACTTGAAGATGTTGAGTGTGAGCGATGACGTGTATCCCTGTTAAAACAATACAGTTTTAGAATGCTGAGGACACAATATGATACACTGCTAATGACTAACAATTTAGTTAAAAACTAGCACCCAGTGCTGGAAATAATTTTTCTTCTTTAACAGGACATGTGTCCTTTCAAATCTTCATTTTGGTCGGACATCTTATCAATTTGACTGGACATTAATTTGCATAATTGATTAGCATAATTAATTAGCATAAGAAAATTTATTAGCATACTGCAAAGATTTTCAATACAAATCGTTCAAAACTGTATTTAAATTTGATTTATTTATCACTTATGATTAACTAGATGACTTTA